GAGGAACTTCATACCCATGTATGGGAGTTCCTGAAGATCTGCGAAAAGGAGGGATTATGCCTCAAGATTAGCAAGTGTGTCTTCAAGGCCAAAGAAATAGAATTCCTTGGAATGATCATTGGAAAGGGGTGTATGGAGACTTTGCTGACAAAGACCGATACCATCAGTACTTGGGAAGCTCCTGACAATCTTACAGGGCTTTGCAGATTCCTGGGATTCTGTAACTTCTACCGGAAATTCATTCCTTCCTTTTTGGGTGTCACTCGACCCCTGCATGACTTACCCAAGAAGGGGGTCTCCTACCAGTGGACTCTGGAACATGTTGCCATGCTCGAGAAGTTAAAATCTTTGTTATGCTCCTCTCTGGTCCTCACTATTCCCAATTTCACCAAACTGTTTGCATTGTTCACCGATGCATCGAAACTTGGGACCGGTGCTGTTCTTGCCCAGAAAGGGGTGGACAACAAGTGGCACCCCTGCTTGTATCTCTCCCAGTCCTTGGTTGGTGCTGAGCAACGTTACCAGGTTTATGACCTTGAAATGCTTGCCATTATCCAGGCCTTAAAGGCTTTCCAACCCTACCTCCTCTCCCCTGTTGAACCCACTGTGGTCTTTACCGACCACAAGAACCTTGAATATTATCATGAGCCACAGCAGCTTACCCCACATCAAGCCTGCTGGGCTGCTATTATCCAATCCTACCCCATCTGGTGTTCCTGGCAGGCTGGTCACCTGCAGGTACCAGCCAACACTCTTTCCTGTAAAAATGCTTCAGAGGAGCCTGCCCCCATTGCCACAGTCCTCCCACTGGACCTTTGGCTTTTGGAGGGGGTGGGTCCCCAAATTTGCCTCATTTCACCATCTTTTTCAATTACAAAAATACAAAAACAACTCAAGGTTAACCAACTCTGCTGCATAGGACATGTTCTGGCAAAGCTTTCATGTTCCCAAACCAACTCCAAGCCATATTCCTGCCTGAATGAGGAAAAATCAAAGGGGAATAGGCTGTCTGATGCTCGCCCTTTGAGGAACCCCATAAAAGGAGCTTGTGGAGTATACACGATATCGGCCAATCTGTATGAGCACGTCAGGAATGACATGACAAAGCACTCTACAGGACTGGAACCAGAGGATAACATCACTACCGCAGAAGACAGAACAAAATGCTTTGGAACAACTTGGCTCTATATCCTGCCAGAACACCAGCAACACTGTATGTGTTCCTATCATGACCTTGAGTCTGCTGGACACCCCAGACAAAAGGCCATGTTTGCCAAGATGCACAAGGAAGTGTGGTGGGAAGGTATGGGAAAGGATGTCAAAGCTTATGTCATGGGTTGCCCAACGTGTCAGACCACAAAGGTCATGACTCACCCACCAATGCCACCAGTTGTCCCTCACAAAACTACTAAAGCCACATTCCTGTTTCAGCAGATATCCATGGACCTAATCATGGATCTCCCTGTCTTGGGAGAGGCAAAATATGACTTGATTCTCATGGTGGTCAATCAGGGCCTCACAAAAGCCGCCCTGTTTGTCCTGTGTCATAAAACAATAGACTCTGTCAGGATCACCTGACTCTTCCATCAATATATCTATTCTTGCTTCAGCATCCCTGAATTGGTAATCTTGGATTGCAGGCCACAGTTCGCTTCCTTGTTCACTAAGGAACTATACAAGGTGATAGGAGTCAAGACAAAACTCTCGACTGGCTACCACCCACAAACAAACAGAGAAAGTGAATGAGTAAACCAGGAAGTGGAAGGGTATTTGCATTTGTACTGTGTGGAAGCACCAAACTCTGGGCCACCAAACTACTGTCCACAGAGTTCACACACAACTCCTGCATCCACTCCATGCATCAAATGACCCCTTTTTCGCTCCTCTTGGGGTATGACCTGCCACCCTACCCAGAGGTTCAGCTCACCACAATACCCTTGGTGGACAAAAGACTAGAAAGACTCGCCTTGAACCAGGATGTTGCAATTCTTGCTCACAAAAATGCACAGGACCTCATGTGTTCACGCTTGAAAGGTACTTATGTTGTGCCCAAAGTCGGAGATCAAGTTCTCCTGGATACTGGGCATCTTCATATCAAAAACCAGTGTGACAAGATTGCACCCTGATGTCTTGGGCCATTCAGAGTGACTCAGATCATGTCTCCAGTCGCTTTCCAATTGGACCTTCCACTGACCTGGAAAGTTCACCCAGTGTTTCATGCATCTCGGATTTTCCCATTTGTTGAAAATGACACTTATGGTGCTGCACCCACAGCGCCTCTTCCAGAATTAGTTGATGACGAGATTGAGTGGGAAGTCGAATCAATAATCAATCACAAAGTTGATGGGCATAGAGGCAAGTGGCGATATTTGGTTAAATGGAAAGGGTTCCTGCATTTGTCAAACACCTGGGAACCTGAAGAGCATATAAAGGATCACACTGCAGAAGCTCTCAACCAGTACAAACTTGCCTGTCACCTCAGAAATTAAATGGACTCCCCTCGCTCTGTCAACACTGAGAACAACTATGCCAACATCCCCTACCCCACTGAATCCATTCACAACCCCGCAGATGATGGGATCATTCCACCCATCACTATCTATGCCCCAACCTCACCTCCAACGTCCCCCACTGGCTTTTATGTCTTGGGACACTTGTTACCTATCTTGCAACCCCACTTGCTATCCCCCCCTGTCCCCAGGGCTAGAGGACTGCGTCCACTCCAGGGGTTCTTGGTCAGGCACATCCCTGTCCCCAAGGCTGGAGTCCCCCTCAGAGGGGACAGCAACCAACAGGGAAAGGGTAAAGCGCACGCTGACAATGACTCCGATAGTTGAGCAGCCAGTTCGGGTACCACCCATGCTCCCGAACCTACCAACCTATGCACCACCTTCACCACCTACTCTGATGGCACTCAATGCGCTGCCCTCGACCTCCTTGCCACTGTGGCCCTTGCCTGGGATGACCAGCCAAGACTACCAATCTCAGCAAGTGATTACTTGGATGTTGTTAGGGTGCTTGATGTCTTCCACGACAGGGACCACATTGACAGGTGCTCATCAGAACAGGTTGAGTATTTTGGGCTGTTGTCTCAGATCTACAGAGTGACAGACGTAATCAATGCTGCTGTCTCGAAAATCCATACTTGAAAACTTAGTGGAACCACCCTTTATGTTGTGACAGGGGTGCATCTTACTGGATGGGCCCATCAATGTGCTGTGACACTGTAAATGATATTACTGATGGGCCCATCTTTATGTTGTGACAATGTAATTGATAATACTGACTGGCTCATCTTTATGTTGTGACATGGATGCATCTTACTAGATGGGCACATCCATGTGTTGTGACCCTGTAAATGATATATATTGAAGGGCCTGTCTTTATGTTGTGACAGGTACATCTTTCTATGGATGGGCCCACTCATGTGTTGTGATGGTATAAATGATATTATGGAAGGGCCCATCCATATGTTGTGATGCTATAAATGATATTACTGATGGGCCCATCCTTATGTTGTGACAGGGGTGCATCTTACTGGACAGGCCCATCTATGTGTTGTGACACTGTAAATGATATTACTGATGGGCCCATCTTTATGTTGCAACAGGCATACATGTTACTATTGATGAGCCTGTCCTTATGTTGGGACAGGGGCATATCTTACTAGATGGGCCCATCTATGTGTTGTGATGCTGTCAATGATATTACTGACAGGCCTGTCCTTATGTTGCGACAGGTGTACATCTTGCTATGGATGGATCCATCTATATGTTGTGACAGGGTATATTATCCCAAAGATGGGCCCTTCCATATGTTGCAACCTTCTTCATGATACAATAGGTGGGCCCATCCTTATATTGTGACTGGGGTGCACCCTACCATGGATGGGCCCATCCATGTCTTACAGTAGCTCAGCATACTTACTTGGTCATGGGCCCATCTATATATTGCAGTATCCTTACCCTCCACAGGCCCTCCCATATGTTGTGGAATTGTGCTTACAGGCCCATACATATATTGCTCTCACTATAGGCCCTCAGGCCTGTCCATGTGTCATGGCTAATCTATTTAGACAGGCCCATTGCAGGGTCTATATAAGTGTTGGCATTTTGGCATGCAGGCTACCTATATGTTGTGACTAAATGGACTACATGGGGTCAGATGGACAGATGGAGGTAACTCTGACAGACAGAAGATGGAGACAGAGGGAGTAGGAACTAAGTTGATATTCATACTGAGGAACAGTGGAGTATGATACATGCTTTTTTATACTACTATGGAGGTGCAGTAACCAGAATTGGAACTGACATACAGAGACCCAGAAATTTTCAAGTAAAACTTCCTAGATGATGAATGAAGGGTAGATGGAGGACATATGAATGGGTAACATAGAACATCCAGAAAAGGAAACAGTCCAGGCACTGGACCATGCAGTGCATACACTGCAGAGTACCTGACTGTGCACTGTCAGGGAGGAGTCTGAAGGTGGTCACATGACCCCTCAGAGAATGGTCTGTTTGGTCCAGTAGGAGAGCAACACAAGTCTGACAGCCATCAGAGCAGAGATGGTTCATAACTGACAGAAGTTGGGTGGAGTTGGTGCAGAGTGAGTGAATGACTGGTGGAAGAGGGTGCAGAGTGAGTAAGGACTTAGAGTGAATGCATGGTTATGACACAGAGCTATCTTGGTCACCTTTGGACAATGGTTAGCTTTGTCATCTAGTTCATCTTCCTCTTTGTCCTCTTTGTCCTCCTGCACAGAAATATCCAGATATTGGGAAGTGGACTTGCTCATTCTTGGATGCTTTTCTGGGTGTAGAGAGTGGTGGGATCTGCACAAGCTTTTGCCTGATTGAGTGGTTAGCAAAGGATCCAAAACTGAAGGTGAACATTAGCTTACAAGTCTGTGATGAAGGAGCTTGGGGGGAGAGGATGACATGGGAGATGTCGCCTGCAAGATACAGTATGAATTGGTTTATAAAATTTCTTTGAGAAGTTTACTTATGGGAGGAAGAAGCCTGAGCAGGGGGGCCATCATGTGCACCTGGAGGATGTCAGTAAATCGTGAGGATTTAAAGATCTACTTACTAGAAGGCTCAACAATGCCACACTCAGCCATGGCTGCCCTAACGACCTCAACAGCAGTACCCTCCTGAGATGCTTTGAATACTTGGTCAAAGATGGACTTCCACTTGTTGAACTGGTACCTGTTGCCAAATTTCTCCATCTCTGTCAAGAAATTGGCAAAGGAGAGGCTATCATCAGTTGCCCAATGCAAAACCAACTGCCATGCAGCAGCATTTTCCAACAGGGGAGCTACTGAGACTACCTTAGCTTGTGTGAGCTCCCACACAGCCTTGATGGCATTTATCCCTATGCCCTTCAGATTCAATATGATGATATCAATCAGGTCTATCCATTCCTCCAATTTTCAGGTGATACCTGTGGCAGCAAGCTCAATTTTGACATTGAATAGAAGGGAGGTGTCAGTGACATCATTGCATGCAAACCTCTCAAGAAAGGTGAAAGCCTTGTCATTGAGGAGAGCAGGGGTGATTTTGACCTTTGGTTCCATTGATAGCAGGGGTGTTGTCAAAAGAGCTGGAAGTAACTAGTGAGCAGTAAATGGAGTGAGGGGGGAAGTACTAACAAAGCAATAGAAGGTGATGATTTCTGCTATTTAAGGGGGGGTGCTAAGCTTGGCAATCAGAACTGCTATTGTCCTGGACAATAGGACAAAAGATGGTGTCTTTTGATGTGGACAACAGGATAGAAGAATGGTCTAGGGGAATGTAGTCAGATTGATAACTGAGTAAGCAGCATACACTGTGCTTATCTTCATGGAATGCACTTCATATCATTGCTTCCAAGCCATTGCCTCATGCATACCCAACTTTATTATATCTTCATCTACATCTACACTCATATTATAGATTGTTTGGCCCATGTCAAATGTTTAAATTGATGACAGCCACAGCATGAACTACTGTCAATAGCAATCTTTTGAAGTTTAGGTTTCATGTTGATGGTCACATCACACTGTCATTGCAGACTAGAGCATCTTCTGCTGTGTCTTGCAATAAGGAGGCAAGATGTGTGTCATACTCATCATGGATGTGATCAGGGAGAGTGGAGAACAGTATATTATACTGTAGCTGTCACAATTTTGGAAGAATGATGGACAAGACTGGTATGAAGACATTGCAGGGAGCAGGGAGGAAGGATCTATATGCTTCTTGGACTGGAGAGACTGAAATGACCACATAAGCATAAGACCTTTCCAAGTGAATGACAGACCTGAGGCAACCAAAGAACATCCTCCTAGAGGTCATACTGATGAAAAGAATGTGCTGTCCAAGCTGGATGGGCTGAGAGGGGGCAGATGAAGATGGGATGTACCAGGACACTTCAGGACAGAAGCTGGTAGGCACTCCTGGTAGATATACATAACCATGGTCCCTAGCAAAGGGGACAAGCAAAATGATTGATGTGGAGGTGGACATATCAGAAGAATTAGCAATACAAGTGTCTTTTGGAGGGAGTGCTGTAGAAATGTGTGGAGTGTGCAAATCCTTTCCAATTTTGGAAGGTAGGATCATGTGGCTGAGCACTACAAGAGAGTGTGGGAATGGTGTCAGTATCTGCAGAAATGGTGGAGATACATCAAAAGCTGGAATGCCATACATGGGCACTTAAGAATTTCTATTGGCACTTAACTTGCTTCCTTCCTTTTTCTTTGGCATTGACAACTCATTCTTGTGCAAGGGATGACTGCCAACATTTCTGGCTGTCCTTCTTCACATGAGGGCTATGGTCTTCATCTCCATTCATCAGCTGCATCCATGTCCACCTCACCAAACACTTTTGGTGTGTGACACCATGACTCAAGGACTACAAGCACTGTTGGCCTGTTATCAATATGATCCACTTTCATCCCAAGTACCTTTCATCAAGGGACTTGCAAAAGATAAGAAGAGACTCCTCACCCAAGTGAACTGTCCAACTCAAACTGTAGGTGAGTAGTCAATGTGCTGGATACAGCCAACCCCAATAACTTGTACCTTTGTGCCTAGAATCTATCATACACATACATCTTGCACAAACTTCCAGCTATAACCTGCATACCCACTTATATGTCTATTAGAATTAGAATTACATCAATATTAATAGTAGTCTTTGTGAAGATGGTATGATGCAACCATCAATGCAAAACTGATGAGTACTGTAGAATTTCAATTATATGAGTGTAGACAAAGATATAATAAAATTAATATGCCTGAGGAAGCAACAATATGATGTGCATTCAATAAAGATAAGCATAAAGTATGCTGCTTACTTGGTTATCAATCTGACTACATACTCCAGGACCATTATGTCTGCAGGACCCTATAACCCATGATGTTGCATACCTGTCACCACACACAAGTTGGTTGCATACTAACTCTGCATACATGTTTAATCTAATTAATTAAGCATATCTAGGTCTTGCTACCTTTTTAGCAGCCATTGTGGTGATAATTTTTCTTGTTTTCCAATCTGAATGTGTTTCCAAACAGCTTGACAACCAATTGACAAGTTCATGAAGCTAGAAACCCAATGTTGTCAAGATGCACATGAGTGAGTCCAATGTTAATCCAAATGTGGTTCCAATCCATATTGTCTAACATCTACCATATTCAATTTGTCAATAGATCATTGTAGGACTACATTCATTTTATAGTTGCATATTGATCAGTGGTGGTTGTTCTTATGCCTCCCTTGCTACTCCATAGTGCCAGCCTGTTGGCAGCCTTGTTCTCAACTCATGTATGCTGACAAATTTTCTTTATATAGGATCTTGTTTTCCATGATGTATGAATCATAGTGGAGGATGAACAGTGCCTGGCAGGGTCCATGTTTCATCACAAGTATGTACCAGTCAATGGCAATTCATCTTGTTCTTCTTCTCATTCTAGGATATAAAAGTGACTCCAGCCTGCCCAGTCTTGTTTGCTACTTGGCCATTGCCCATACTCATTCTTGTGCTGTGACACAGATATTCCTCTACTGCTTCATTTGTGAGCTCACTGTCTATTGTTCTAGGTATGACTACATAGTGGCATATGTGAATGTTGTACTAATACAATTACAGGTTGCTGTTATGCCTGCCTCACCTGTCCTGAAGTGGTGCACCTGCAAAGAATGTGTCAGGGAAAATGGCAGGGATCTTCTCATGGACTCCCATCATTTGTCACTGCATCTGAAACACATAGAACAGTGAAGTGAATCCCCTCAAGCAGACCACCATACCACTGAACATTACCTTGTGCTCTAGATAGAACTCTTCCAGAACACATACTTGAATCACCAGAATTAGCCTCTCCTTCAGATGCCCTAGCTAGCCATTTAGTGGCTCTTACCATCACTGATGATAGTCCAAACTCCATGACCTGTGCTTCTAAAATGTGGAACTCCCATGAGGAACTCCAGCAGATGGGAGCCACTGCTGACATCCTGGCTGGTCTGCAAAACCCTATTTCTATCACTTCCAGTATCACCCAATCTCTCCACTGTCTCATGAATACATTGAGCTTCTCCTGCGCCCCCACAAGTGCTCAGCCACCACTATCAACTGCCAAAGCCATTCTACATGATACTCAGATCAGGAATGTTCATCAGCAAACTAGAAGGGCTATGAAGGCTTTATCAAATATTGACTCCTGAATACAAAGATGTTCCTGACTTCTGCTGGATGGACAAAGTTTTACTACCATCAGCAGAGAACTTAGTCTGCTCTGCCAGACAACCAACAACATAAAGTGCCATGCCAATTGCATAGTTGCATGCAAGAGAGTGGTCATCAAAACTATGGATGAGCTAGAATCCATACTCAAAAGTAGGCCTGTGACACCATCCCCTGAAGACTTTCAGTCTGTGCCTTTCATGGCCAGTGTGTAGTGATTCTAGCCCTAGCCCTAGCTCTGAACTCAAGGTGACACTTCCAGCAGATGACCAATATTGCTCTCCTGTCAATCATATGGACACTATCACACAAGTCACACTGGCCATTGGTGTCATCTGCAGTATAGTAATGGATGTCAGTACTTGGGCAGGCAACTTTATCATGAATGCCCTTTCACTTCTACTGTTCCTTGCCTTCAAGGATACCAGTGGACAGCTTAGTGTCTCTCATGAAAACATCCTCACACAAATCCCATCATCTATCACCAGCACCCTTGGCAAATTCAAGCTCACAGGTAACACCATTCCTTATGCTATCTGCAGGTGTCATCATACATATGCATCAACATATGTGAATGACTCCAAGATTGCAAGTTACCCCCCCCCACTGTACCAATCATCCTACACCCAAGACTGTCTGTGGTGAACCACTTCTGGATGAATGTTCTGATGGTCAGCTTCATCCCAAGAAAGTTTTTCTGTACCATGACTTCAAAGACTACCTTGCTAGCCTCCTTTCCCATCACTACATTGAAATTATGATGGACAGAGCTTGCAATGACCTTGCAAAGTCTCTCCACTTGTCACCACCTCACTTTGTCATGAACCCCCTTGAAGCTGAGTTCCTCTGCCAGTTTACAGGTCCCCAACCAGGTAAACTCTTCATTGACAGGGGAGATGAAGGCCACTATGCTTTTGCACTACATGTCAATTTCTTCAACCCAGAGGGGATGCATCAGCATGGGGCAACTGTATCTTCAGGAATCATATCCATAGCTTGGCCTAATTTACTGCTGGACATTTGCTACAAGCCAGAAAACCTATACTTCACTGGTATGTTCTCATTCACAGGACTGTCCAGAGAATGAACACTCATGTTCAGCAGGTATTATTCCTGGCCCAATACAGCCATCCCTAGAAAAACTTAATCATTACATATGTCCTTGATCAATGACTTGCTCATTGACTGGGAATGTGGCATCCACTTCTCAAAAACAGCTAAATTCCCTGATGGTTGGGTCACTCACAGTGCCATCACACTTGTCATGTGTGATCTTCCTGCTGCTTGTCATCTGGCAGCACTTGCTGGCATCAGCAGCCACTTCTTCTGCAGTGTGTGCAATTGCTATCATAAGAATAACTATGGTAGAGTTGACCATGAGCATTGGGCTCCCCAGGATCAAGATAAACTTCATTTTCATGCTTAACAATGGCAGGATGCAGTCTCATCTGCAGACTGAGAGTGACTCTTCAAAGATCATGGTGTACACTACTCAGAACTTTGGCATCTTCCTTACTGGGATCCCACATGTCAACTCATCATCGATTCAGTGCATTGCATTCTGGAGGGGCTGATCCAACACCATGTATGCACTCTGTTGGGGTTATCTACAGAACATTCAGTGACAACAGCCTTGAAATTCCCTGCCTTCTACCATGACTTCATCCAAGCTGACCCAACCACTACCTTGCTGACTTGGAAGGAAATCATTCAAGTATCTGCAATACATACACTGCTCATTTCTCTGATATCTTCACAAGATGCACCTCTGGCTTCAGCATTCACAACTCTTCAGGAATCACTCTACCACAAAAACTTCAACATACTCAGTCTGTCAGAGTCTGGGCTGTGCAGCATTGAAGACTGGCAGAGTGTATAAGATTGCTTATGCCAAAGCTTTAGTTGAATGAGTGAGGTGTCATCTTTCTTCCACAAAGATTGCAATTGTTTATAGTCTTCTTAGTGCCAAACAATGCCACTGTTCTCCAGTGTGCAAAAGCATGTACAAGAACACTATGACACAACAAAGATCTTAGGTTGCATCCACAATGTTATACAGAACACAGTACTGCCATCATGGTTCAGTTCAGCACCAGCCAACTTTGGCCATCCATCTGCTGGAACAATTAAAGCAGATGAGTGGTGGACACTCATCACTGTTCATATCCCTCTTGCCCTCATCAGCTTGTGGGGAGCACCTGATGTCAATGAACTGAAGCCAGGCAACAAGTTTATTCTGGATCATACTATGGACCTTATTTCCCTGGTCAACATTGCATGCTCCCAGATAATGAGTACTCAAAGGGCTAATGCATACTGCTCATACATTGCACATTATGTCAGGAACCTGAAACAAGTACATCTGACATTCAACTTGCATCCAAATCATCATGCTGCCTTTCATATATATGACTACCTTATCCTTTTTGGACCCATCCATTCATGGTGGGCCTTTCCTTTCAAGCACTTAATTGGTGTTCTCCAGTGTCTCCCCACCAACCACAAATCTGGTGAGTCAAACAATGTCAATTTCAGGAAGACATTATTCTCATTTCATACAGGTGAATTGGAGGCAACAATGCTACATTCCTATCTCAGGGGTGCATGCCTCCACAGCTGGCTCCCCCACCTGGACTGTCCCAATGCAGTCCAAGAATGCAAGGTCCTCTTAGATCATGCTTATGACAATGACAATGAATATGACTCTGATTGTTCCTGGACAAGGAAGTCAACCACTATCCCTCCAGACCTGTACAACTTGATTCATAAACAGGATGTGATGCTGCAGGCCCATATCAGATATGGTGGAGTGGTCTATAGCTGCATTGCCACTCATGTAGGAAACTCTCTGATTATGTTTCACCTGTCAGGTGACAGATCTCACTTCTGGTTCCTGTGGTACTTGCTCTGATTCACCTGTCAGGCAACTGATCTTTGCCTCCAGTTCCTGTGAGCATCAAATACATATACAAACAGGATGGACAGTCACATTTGCTGTCTGTTGGCAGTGTCCCCTGGTTTTGAACAAAGGCACAAATGACCCCTTTGCATGCTACCCACATTTCCCAGCAAAGACCTACAGCTGCATGCTTCCCACAACACTGGAGAAAGTCAAGGTATCATGGGTTATGAGTCACTGTGCACAGTGGCCAATATCTGATGACTGTGTTGTCATTCTTATGTTGAGTTGAGTGAGTGAAGCTCTGTCTCATGCCACTCTGATTTGACTGTTGAATTCTTGCAACAATAGGACTGACAAATGTCAAGGCATCATGGAAAAAAATTTGTAGGATCTACTTAGGGAAATATGATGACCATGTAACAATAGCTACAATAATAATAGGATGATCATGCTGAGTGACTGTTGTGCAATGACAGGTGATCATTAGGCAATGAAAGTGACTGTTGGGCAATTAGTATAGACAGTGGCAAAACTTCAAGTGCAAGCACATGTAGGAACACTAATTCTAGACTTGAAGTAAAATCTGTTACTGTAATTTTGGCAGTACTTTGTGTATTGTCAGTTATGCAAATTAGGACAAAACTTAAAGTTTCACCCTGCACTGCATGTGTTGGCATAACTTCCTATCATGGACAACATCTGCTATTCAACCATACTTATTGTTTACACAATGATTAGACATGACCCCATGTAGTGCATTTAGTCACAACATATAGGTAGCCTGCATGCCAAAATGCCAACACTTTTATAGACCCCATGATGGGCCCATCTAAATAGATTAGCCATGACACATGGACAGGCCTGAGGGCCTATAGTGAGAGCAACATATGTGCAGGCCCATAAGTGCAATTCCACAACACAAGGAAGGGCCTGTGGAGGGTAAGGATGCTGCAACATATAGATGGGCCCATGACCAAGTAAGTATGCTGAGCTACTGTAAGACATGGATGGGCCTGTCCATGGTAGGGTGCACCCCAGTCACAATATCAGGACAGGCCTGCCTATTGTATCATGAAGAAGGTCACAACATAAAGAGGGGCCCCTCTATGATAGATTACAAAGTTGGCAACATATGGAAGGGCCTGTCTTTGGGATAATATACCCCTGTCATAACATATAGATGGGCCCATCCATAGCAAGATGTACACCTGTTGCAACATAAGGACAGGCCTGTCAGTAATATCATTGACAGCATCACAACACATAGACAGGCCCATCTAGTAAGATGCATCCCTGCCACAACATAAAGACAGGCCCATCAGTAATGTCATTTATAGCATCACAACATATGGACAGGCCCTTCTGTAATACCATTTATACCATCACAACACATGGGTGGGCCCATCCATAGTAAGATGTACCTGTCACAACATAAAGACAGGCCCTTCAATATATGTCATTTACAGGGTCACAATACATGGACAGGCCTTTCAGCAATATCAATTACATGGTTACAACACATGGATGGGCCTGTCAATAGCAACACATATACCTGTCACAACATAAAGATGGGCCCATCAGTAATATCATTTACAGTGTCACAACACATCAATGGGCCCATCTAGTAAGATATGCCCCTGTCCCAACATGAGGATGGGCCCATCAGTAATATCAATTACATGGTCACAACATATTGAAGGGCCCTTCAGCAGTATCATTTATGTGGTCACAACATAAGGACAGGCCCTTCAGCAGTATTATTTATATGGTCATAATGTATGGACAGGCCCTTCAGTAATATCTTTTATATTGCCATAAAACAAGGATGGGTCCATCTAGTAAGATCCACCCTTGTTGCAACATAAGATGGGCCCAACACCAATAGCATGTATAGTGTCACAACATATTGATTGGATCACAGTAAAATATTGAGGCAAGTGTCCTGACATGCCATAATTTTCCAACAAGCTGCAAGTGGCTCACCCACTATACAACTCCAACCTCATCCACCCCAAGCATGAATACTATGCAAGACACATCTAACACCCCCCATGGATGGTGAATGGAACTAACAGACTGCATTGTGTCATACATGAAAGCCAGATTTCAAGAGGAGGTATTCAGCAGACCTTGCACCCTTCCAGATATATCAATTCCATTTCTGGTGTTATGTGAAGCAGATTGCATATCATCAGAAATCTCACAGGCCTATTATCACCCAAGTAAGTCCATCATAATGGTGCAATGGAAGTTTTCATCTTTCTGCAGTCAACATTGGGAAAAATTGGGGTGGAAAAACCTGCAATGCAGAAGCTGCTGAGAGATATGTGGAAGTGACTGAGCCATCCATTCTGGTGACTGACTCAAACACCATCCACATATGGTATTTTCTGGATGCTCTCATCCCAAAAAGAAGGGTAAGGACATGCAGAATCTCATATTCTACTGACTTAATGGAATGGCAGGCTGACATATGGAACTGCCTTCATCTTCTGAGGGAACCACTGTGGGAGAGCATAAAGGCTTCCCCACAGGCATGGCAGACAGACAAATCATATTTCTGTGATAATGCTGAGTTGAAAGGCACCATCAACCTGTCACCTGCATGGTTTCAACATGGTCATGGGGTGGTGATCATTTCTTGCCTTGTGAATAAAGCACTCATCCATCTTGAAGCCCCAAAATGGCTTCCCAGAAGCCTCACAGCTGCTCAAATCCAGGATGGAAAACACTTCTACAAGGGAATGGGTCAACCAAATGTCTGACACCAATGCCCTGCTATCTGTGATCCTGCATATCATCCATCCACAAATGTATGCAGATGGCAGGGAAGCATTGATCCACCTTGGCAAACAGGTGGAACAGCAAGCAGATTTGAATATGAACTCCATACTGCTGATATAGAGCTCCATGTATAGCAGCATGTCCATGATGGTGAATCAGGCAACTTGTTACCACAGGGATATCATTGGACAGGATCCATGGTATGACATGCTGGTAACCATGGGTGACTACCTGCCCTTGGACTTTGTCATTCCAACATTGAATCTGCAGCTGCACTACAACCCAGGGACAATCATTGCATTTTCAGGTTCAGCATTGGAGCATGGGGTGGGAGCTGTAGACAGTGACAGAGCATGCCTGGCATACTACATGCATGCCAATGTACATCAGTCAGTGCATGTTCCCATGTGTCAATCACCACAGACAGATGACCTACTACCTAGACCAGTTGCAACTGGAGAACTATTGATTTGAAGCTGCAAAATTTAATGTAAGATTTAGTAGGTGATGTGGATCTCATATTTTATTAGGATATGCTGGCTCTCAAACCTCAGACAGGTGGTGTTGCCAAGATTTTGCAAATGGGTGGGTACTCAGAGCTAAAGGGTGTGCATCACAAACTGCAACAAAAGTAAACCTACTCAAACCATCATGCAGATGGGCAGATTGTCAGACATCATGTGAATGGGTGGTATCTCATAAATGATCAACATCCACAGCAATGTATATACAACCAACTCCACAGTCAAGAACATGTAAACTATTGAAGCAGCATGCCCAACAACCTGCACAATGCCCACCACCTAGCATAGAAATGGTCAATTTGTTGACCCCAACTGTTGACAACATTGGCATATTTCTGAATATTTTTTGATGCAGTAGTTTACCTGCTCCTTGATATGGCCATCAAGATGGTCTGCAATTGGCACCTCAGGCAATGGCCATAAGCCCTGGGCCATCATCAACTATTTGCAGTGATGAGAATAAGCAACATACCTTAAAAAAATCCCAGGCTGCAGAAAACAATCCCTTGCCTTGCAATCTTTGGGAATCCACTGTGTATTCCTCAGAACAATATAGCCACCAAGGGAATGCAAAGCCAGAATTGGGATCAGCTGCATGTGGGGTCCAATGTGGGACAATGGTGCTGATATTGTTGATTATGCAAAATGCACTGAGGGGAATTAGCTGCATTTGATCATGGAAGCTAACCTCATCATCTTGGTGTCTGAGGTATGCATGGTAGCACACCAGGAGGGGAGGAGTATAACTGGCATGCAACACCATCACCAGAATCAAGCTATTAAGCTGATTCTGAAGGAATTATGTATCAGTCCCACATTGTGAAAAATTGATGTAAAACCTACCAAGTCCATTGCTAGGTTTGCAAACCAATGTGTGGGCCACCCCATGATATCAGCAGTCTGCTTCAGATGTACAGAGGCCACCTTGATCTGGCATGCCAAGTAGAGGATACCCATCTCTACCACAGACTAGTGAGATGGGTGTGATTGGCTGGCAATGAATGGCTCAGGACAATTTTCAAGGCTGGTAACATGGATAAAAAATGACTTCCATCAAATTGAGCATATTGACAAGTTGAAGGCCCTGAGAGGCTGCATCATACTGGTCCCTTGCATCTGTGCCCAATTCTCTCACAATGGCATTTGCAGCCCACACAAGGTGCCTATTGAGGGTGGGATCAAATGGCTTGTCACTGGGAGTGGTGTTTCTGTGGTAGTGAGATATTGCAGCATGTAAGGTGCACAGGACTAAAATTATCAATGTCAATGGTGTATCAAATTAAGCTCATGCCCATACCTTGATCACAATGCAGAACAGGTGCCTGTTGGAGTGAAACAACCCCTGTTGTCACTTACATAAGTTGTTAGAGCACACCCATACACTAGTAATATTTACCTAGTCCCTCAGTAGCTTGACAGACTACTGAGGGTGAGTACACTTCTACATAGATAGAATACCCTTACTAACTTGTATAGTTCCCTACAGGTACTATACTCAATATTGGTGGCTTGACAGACTACTGAGGTTCCCTACAGATTCCTCTCTGGGTTTCCCCTCTGCAACCCCACAAACTTCTTCAAGAATATCATTCACACTGTGGGAAGCAAGGTTGGACAATGGTGGATGGAGCCAAATTTTGGGTAACAGCAATACATGGGAGATGAGCAGCAATATCTCCCTACATAGATAGCTACCAGTTGCTTCCACATGGCCAATATGTAGACCTGTCCCACTCAGCTCTCTGCTCAATTGTCCTGCTCAACCATCCCACTTAACTATCCCTCTCTCTGATATCAAAGACACCTCTCACAACCACCATGGTGTCATGAGCTACCATACATGCCATACACTTGTATTCTAATGTGTCACACTAGGCTAAGCCCTCTATAGACCATACATGAGTTCCAAAAAAGGTTTCTGCTCTAACTGTTTGAGGGATTTGACAACTACTTCCACTTCTGATTGCTGCCAGACAACTATAGTATGGAGACTGGTAATGCTTGTCTCACAAAGATTGCTAAGACAATTGGTAAGACAAGTATTAGTAATTTATGACAAAGATGACAGAGACCAGGACAGGGCAGACCAGGGACAAGACTGGGCAGGGCTTAACCAAAGTGACACACACTGCAAAGCAGTGTTCAGCACACTAGACTAACTGGAGATATGGGATTGGTGACACTGAGGCTGGACTGAATGAATATGAAGCCAAGTCTGGCTGGGGTCAAGACACAACTATGACACTCTGCTAAAAAGGTGTGCCATGTGTGATTTTCATGCACAACAGATCAGCACTAATGTGATTCTGGTCTTCAGGTATCTGGCAGGAGGCAAAACTGTGCCAAGACACCATTCCCTTCTTGTTCCTGCTCACATCCCCCACCAGCTGATGGTTCCCATAGTATGTGGCTCTGCACCTCCAGCACATGCAAAGACCCCAGTGCATCATCCACAAAATAAAGCACTAACTGACAATAATGGGAGGGAGTGCAACAGCCATGATTCCGATGATGAAGCTGATGAAGACACTTATTTGCCCACCCTATCCAATTCAAAGAAATCAGCAACATCCCTGAATAGTGAGCTTCCCACTGTATCTTGTATTCACAGCAAACCCTGATCTGCACTCAGGGAGCAAGTACACAACTGAACTACAGGACCACTCAGAATATGCAGATGAAGATGGATTGGAGAGCATTCCTTTCACTGACCACCCAACTGAGGAGGGGTCAAGACTCATTTCCAACCTCCCCATGTCTGCTCTGCCACCAACCCTGACTCCACTTCAGCCAGTGGAACTCACCATGAGACAGCACTAGCTGCCTTGGGCACCACTAGGTGCTCCCTAGATCCCATTAGTCCTGTTAGGGGCTTTTCAGCCTGGACATCCAATACTCCTACTCCATGTCACCCCATTGCCCCTACCCCCAGTGGTGATCCTGGGGATGAAGGGCCAGACAACAATTATGACAACAATCCTGATGACAATGACCCCAGTAGTGGTCCCAGTGATGATGGGCCTGGTGATGATAATCTGGAGGAAAATGAACCAGATGTCCCAGACCTGGACACTGAGCCTGCAATTATGGTCCTGGACAACCTCACAGAAGCCATTGAACTGCTGGCTTGCAATGCCCACACTAGTCCTGAGCCTTCAAGCAGGACCAAGTTGTGTGAGCCTGATACCTTTGATGGTACCAACCCCAAGAAACTTCATGCCTTCTTCATTCAGTGTGAGCTAAATTTCCAAGACTGGCCCCAGGCTTTCAGGACTGACTGTGCCAACATCATCTTCATGCAATCTTACCTGAAAGGCATGGCCTTAGAATGGTTTGAGCCAGACTTGCTCAGGGTTGAGGACCCCAATGACCAGCCTCTTTGGAGGGAGTTCATCCTGGAACTAAAAACCACCTTTGGCCCCCATGATCCAGTTGCTGATGCCAAAAGTCAGCTCAACCATCTGCAAATGAAGGACAATCAGTGCATCAATAAGTATGTAGTTGACTTCAACCAGCTTGCTTCACAAGCCCAGGGATACAGCAACAGTGTGCTGCACTGCTTCTTCTATACTGGACTTTCAGACTGAATTAAGGACAAGGTCTGTCAGGTTAGAAAACCCCAGACTCTCCATGAGCTCCATCACCTAGTGCAGGAAATAGATGTGAGGTATTGGGAGCACAAGGAAGAGGTCCAATGAGCCAACAAACACCAGGGCTTGCCTTCATCCAATAAACCCACTAGCTCCAGCAACAATAGCCAGTCCAAGACTGGTCAGGACAAGTCCAAGCCCAGCAATAACAACAACAACACTGGCCCCCTGTCCAAGCCAGCTTCATTGAAACCAGGCAACAGCTCTAGCAACTCATCCAAGCCTGAGTCCAGAAAACTTGGTAAGGATGGGAAGCTCACCCCAGAAGAATGCAAGCATCGCATGGACAGGAACCTCTGCATGTTCTGTGGAGGGCCCAGTCATTTTGCTGAGAAATGCCCCAAGAAAGCCATTAAGGCCAAAGCTCGTACTGCAGCTACCACCAAAGCTGCACTGGCCTCAGGCTCTGGTTCTACCCCCAAGACAAAAAAAATAGGTAGCAGCTCCTGGGACTCCACACAATCTGGGAGCTGCATTGACTCCAGTTGTGCAAACTTGAAAGCTTGTCTCAACACATCTGTTCTTTCCAGTCCAAACTCTTTAACCCCATATGTCACATTAAAAATCCAGAATTAGCTTGGCTTCATACTTTAGTGGACTCCAGTTCCACTCATTGTTTTATAGATAATCAATTTGTTAATCAACACTTGTTTACCCCATACTCAGTCTCCCCAATCTGACTCCAGCTCTTTGATGCAATGTCCACCTTTACTATAACCCAAGCAGTAGATGTCAATATCTGCTTCACATCTGGTGATGTCACCCCAGTAACCCTGTTTTTAGCCCTGTTGGATTCTGAGTGTAAGATAGTCCTTGGACATGACTGGCTCACCCACTACAATCTATTGATTGATTGGGTACTGAGCAGTCTAACATTCCAGACTCCTGCACAAGGAATGCCAGCCTTGTCAACACCCCCTGTAAGCCTGGTTTCCCCTGGCCTTCCTGACTCCAGTCCTAGTGACCAACCTGGCCTTGTGCCATCTGTACTGGTCTCTGACTCCCTGGCTCACACCCCCCTGAAGGCCCCTCTTGTTTCCCTAATCAATGCAGCCACCTTTGTGTGTGCCTGCAAACTAGAAGGGTCTGTCCAGTTCCAACCTCAGCTCTGCCCCTCAGACTCAGTTCAAGCTCAATTGGCCTTGGCTTCCCCTCCTCCAGCCTTACCCAATGTACCAGAAGAGTACCACAACTTTGCTGATGTATTCAGCAAGGCCAAGGCCTTGGCACTCCCACCACATGGGGAGTATGACCTGAAAATAGAGCTTGAAGAAGGAACAATACTGCCATTAGGCACCATCTACTCACTGTCCCAGGTTGAGGTGCAAGCTCTCCAGACTTTCATTGATGAAAACCTCACCACTGGCTTCATTTGTCTGACCTCTTCCCCTTATGCTGCACTGGTCCTCTTTGTCAAAAAGAAGGACAGCTCCCTCTGGTTCTGTGTAGACTTCTGCAGCCTCAACAAAATCACTAAGAAAGACCAATACCCACTACCACTCATCTCCAACCTCTTGGACTCACCAAGCCAAGCCAAGATCTATACCAAGATTGATCTTTGGCATGCCTACCATCTCATCCGGATTGCCCTGGGTGATGAATGGAAGACTGCCTTTTGGACTTGGTATGGATCCTATGAGTGGCTGGTAATGCCCTTCAGCCTCACCAATGCCCTGGCCACCTTCCAATGCTTCATGAATACCATCTTTGCAGACATGTTGGATGTCTGTGTGGTTGTCTACCTGGACAATATCCTAATCTACTCCAGAGATAAGGAGTCCCATAAGCAGCATGTCCAAGAGGTCCTCTGCCAGCTTCAGCTTCATGGCCTTTATGCAAAGCTGGAGAAATGTGAGTTCCACTCAGACTCAGTCAAATACCTCAGTTTCCACCTTTCCCCTGCTGGCCTCACAATGTTGAAGGAAAAGGTCCAGACCATCTGCAATTGGCCCAAGCCTTGCAAGGTCAAGACATCCAATCTTTCCTTGGCTTTGCAAATTTCTATCACCATTTCATCTTCAACTACTTGGATGTCATCATACCATTGACTTGGCTTACCTGCAAGGGCACCCCTTGGAACTTCTCTGAGGAGTGCTGTTAGTCATTCAATAACCTCAAGGCCACCTTCACCACTGCACTGGTTTTAACTCATTTCATTCCCAGGGTCCCCATCACCATTGAGACTGATGCATTGGACTATGCCATCACCAGCATTCTTTCTATCACCTGCAGCAATGGCCAGGTTCATCTGGTTGCCTTCTACTCCCAGACTCTGACCACCCCAGAGTTGAACTATGATACCCACAA